ACAGTCTAGAGCCACAGGTGAATGGTCCGAAATCAACCTTTGTTGGATAGTTTGCTTGATGTTCCTGAACCTTACATCTCATTCTTCTGAAAATGAAAAATCTATCAATTCTTGAAGCCGCTGTATGATTGTCCCCTTTGAACCAAGTATAGTTTCCTCCTTCAAGTCGAAGATCTATCAACTCCATATCTTCTATAAAATCCGAAAACTCCACCATCGCTCTGGACCTCCTTGAACATTCCCGTTTTTCAGACGGGTACCTTGTAACGTTAAAATCGCCACAAACCGCCCAAGGACCTTCCATCAAANCCTTCCATCAATCCCCTCACTGCACCAATTTCACTCCATACTTTTTTCCTTTCTATTCTACAATTTGGAGCATACACTCCTGTTATGTGACATTGAAAATTCTGTAGAAGAGCGTCAAACTTGCACGTCAAAGTGTATGCACCAGTCTGTAACACCTCCCCTTTCCATACTCTGCAATCCCATAACAACAAAATCCCCCCTCTCGTGCCGCTAGCTTCTAAACATGCATACCTCACCCATCTACCACCCCATATTTGCCTGACTATTTCCTCGATATCCCCCTCGACTTTTGTTTCTTGCATGCAAATAATGTCTGCCCTCCAATTCTGCACTTGACTTTTTATTATCTCCCTTTTCTTCTTATCGTTTAATCCCCTTACATTCCAGGAAATTACTTTGATCATCATATAGAAATGATTGATAGATCTCTTCCCCTACTCCTTTTTCCATCACTCTTGAATTTAACATCGAAAGAAGTTAACCCTTTTAATTCCAGTGATCCTTTGAATCTTTGTTTCTTCACCTCCAACTCTGTCTCCACCCTTCTTACCTGTCTGCAGCTGTCAATTTGCATTAGCAACTCCAGTGCTTCTTCTTCATGTCCTTGAAAATCTACTCCAAACATTTTCCCCAGTTTGATCATATTTTGATGAACCCATATTGTTGCATCCATGTCTTTATCCAGTAATGGAATGTGTTGCTGAACTGCTATAGGATTCACCTCCTCGATTTCCCACTCTTGAATAGAGCTAAGTTGCTTTAGATGTTCCAAAGAACTTCCCACCTGATCATTCCCCATCTTTGAGTTTATGCTTTGTTCCCTTTCCTTCTGTTCCAATCTTGCCAAAACTGCTCCACCTTTCGGCTGACTACAACTGGTAATTGTTTCCTTTTGCATACTTTCAAGATTCACATTAAGGGTTTGGTCCCCTGGAGAGGACTCTTTTGCCCCCGAGTAAGAAGGTCCTCCCATTTCCTCGATATAAGGCTTCAGCCCAGTATCTTCAGAGATCTCACACGAGAGGTCATTAAAAATGACTTGTGCAGCCATATCGGGGTCATAGGATTTCAGCTTGACTTTTGACACTTTACTGCTCTGATTCATCGAAGTTGAACCTTGTGTAAATTGTCCACTTACCTTTCCTTTACTAGTGTTAAGCTCATACCGTGTCTTTCTTTCAGCCCAGATTGGGATGAAAAATTTGGTACCATCTCTTTCAATCCCCACCTCGTTGGGAGTCTTTCTGCCATCACCAGCAATTTTGATTCTTGCCCACTTAAGATGGTTTTTGAGATCAGTTTCTTCTTCTGTAGCTAACCAACCCCCACAGAGATCTCCTATTTCTTTGAAGATCTTTTGTGACCATATATGTAAAGGAATCCCCATGGCTCTAATCCAGCATGTTTCCTCAATTTGTGAGTTTGGAATGCAACTGGCAGTATGATTCCACCATTCCAGATGAAGCTTGAATTTTTTCCATCTCCATTCTCCTTGCACAATCTGCTCTGCCATGAATCTGTTTGGAAATTCAAAAAGAAACATGTTTCCTGTCATTTCATATATGTTTACTCCGTATGCTTTGTTCCATGAAGCACTAGCCCATCGCCTTATGTCTGCTAAAGTGGGTCTCTCATTGATTTCTTTCCCAAAAGACCCGATAATGCATCTTTTTAGTAGGCATGTGTCCTCTCCTCCAATAGGTTCCATAACAGAGATTTCCCCATTGTTCGTGCTGACCCTTGCCTCTCGAAGTGTATTGGACTGCCATTTACTCTCCTTAACTACTTGGGCATAAGGGAGATTTTCCACAGTGTTTCTGGGTGGTGCTATGGAAATCGGCCTGGTGGTCTGATAAATGAATCTTTCTATCTTAGCTGCTATGTCTTTCCAGCCAGAGTTCAGAGTTAACTCTGGGAGTATTATGACTGACCTCCCTTCGCCCTTCAGTGACAGAATACTCATGTATCTTCCATGAGCGTTATATTTCCTAGTACAGAAATGTTCTGTCATTAGCTCCTTGTACTTCCATCTCTTCACTAGATTGTTTTGATCTGTCGAGGCTTCTTTAAGTGCAAAGCAGATCCATTCCATTGCCTTTCTACCCATGGATGATCTTCTCATCATGTTGCGACTTCTCTCAACCCATTCAAACCATGTGTCTTTGTTGGAGTTCCATCTGGTGATGTCAAAAGATTTGAATCCTGCGTTGAAATATATCCTGTTGTCTCCCATATTGTACTAAAACCAGTTGCTCAGCTTATGAAAGTTAAAGGTTGTTTGGAAGTTATCCCATTGAGCTAGAAAACTCAAAAATGAAAGAGGAAAAACCAGAACCAGAAATCTGGAAGGTTCCTGCCACCGGAAAAAATAAAAGTTGTCGGAATTCAGAAAGGATTGTATGGTTGTGGTCGGAATTCCCCAGTGATTGTGCTGTCCAAAAGAAATTTTTTGAAAAGTGGTCGGAAATTGAACTCACGCGCCGGCGCGTGGCATTGTCCTTGCCGGAAACTGGCTGCGCGTGGGGGCGCGTGGGGGCGCGTGGGGGGTATTTTATCGGAGCTATTCTCACATGTTCCTTCATCTGGCGAGATATATTACAAAAAGGTAGCTTAGTGGCACTATTTTCAGCTCATCTCATCATATTCATCCCTACCAGGTTAGAAGGAACATGTCGTGTATCTAAACCATAAAAATACAAGTCCCAATTTAAAGAACTTTTACATAATGTTCAGTCAAAAGTTCCAATGCCACAAAAATTAGTATGAGTTTTAGCCAACTCGCAAGAGGTCGGTGGGTGAACAATAAGGAAGTGAGCGAGGTTTCCACAGACGATTCAGAATGGAAGGTCTTACATATTGTATATGTTGAACATAGCTGCAAATTACCTCAGAACATGAGTTATAAAAAGATAAGTATCCACCGATCAAAAACAGAAAAAATATGAGAATGGTGCAGATGTTCTAGTTGAAAAAACAGAGGATCCCCCCCTGCAAGTTATATTGAATTGCTTCCAAATCAAACCTACCCTGAACCTGACTTAATCCATTTTGCCTGACCCCAGCCAAAAATAATGAAAACAACAAAAACTAAACAGTGCCGCAAATGATTTTAATGCAAAAAAGATGATTAAATGTTCTCTTCAACAGAAAGCAAGTGAACCTTCCAATAACAAGGGCTGCCAAAGCAGTGGTACCAGAAGCAAGATCAGCATCCAAGATGCAGGCTTCTGCGAAGGCAGTATCAGTTTGCAAGAATGCAGAAGAAATTGCCCTATCAATCTGCCTTGGGAAGTCTTCATCCTCCGCAATAAACCTTGGTAAGTGGTAGCACGCAAAGTCAGCTGCATGCTTTCCTCCATGTCCATCAAAAACCTTGCATTAATAGAAACAAAAAGTAGAGTTTTATACATCTAATGTATTTTTCCCCTATATCCACCATGAATCTGTGCACATGCAAAATGTCTTAAATGCTTCATCCATGCACAAACTACCCAAAAACAAGAAGATTTCAATTTGTAAGCAAGCTTGATCTTGGAACCTAGTATTCTTCAGTTTCATTTCGAAAATGCAACATAAAAGAGGTCTGCAATTTTTTGAGTCTGGTAACAAATAAAAAATGTCTGCACTCGAAATTAATTTGAGATATCTAACACAGACCACAAATTTGAAACGTCTCTTCCCCTCAGCCTTGCATAAGTATACTCAATTCTTGGTATTACTTCCAGCGCCAAAGAAATACTAGTTCAAGTTATATCCCAATCAATCGTTGGAAACATAATGAAATGAAACAAACAGAGAGGGTAAGTAAACAACTCTGTAAACACAGTAATCAACTTGATACTACTTTTCACCACTCAGCTCCAGTATTGTCTCAGTAGTGGCAGCGTAGTGACTAAAAAGGCTATTCAGCTTTCAAACACTAAACAGCAAATGCTTGAAATGATTTTAGTGATATCCTTAGTTTTGAGCATGAGAAGAAACTTCTAACTCGTCCTTTTACATGGAAAAAAAAAAGAAAAGAAAAAAGAAGTGATCTTGTAATGGAAACTCAAGCAAAGAAAGCCTCATAACTTTCCTTTACTTCATATCCCTCAGTTTTGAGTTGGGAGAGATAAACTTTATGAAAAGACCCAACTCACCACGAGATGAAAATAACATCAAAACCTTAAAATGTAGGGCCTGCCCTTCTAACTGTTTATTTCATCAATACACTTCTTCTGAGACACATCAATTTCCAACATTTTTAATGCATGTAGAGTGAGAAGAGCTATTTGTCATCTCACAATTCTCACTAAGTACCAAGAAATTACAAGCATTCCAACCAATCTATTATTAAAAAAAAAAGGAATTTGCACAAAATAATCTAGCACTTGGTCGTGAAACTTCAAAGCAGCCCATTTCTCGTGCTGCTCCCCCCCCCCCCCCTTTTTTATTTCTATTCGTATGAGCCTCAGTTATTGAGAGTTTGACCCTATCCTTGTTAGTTCGGCTACTGGAATTGAAGAGAGTGGATCTAGAGCTACTTATATACCACTAAAATCAATTTATTCTGTAATGCTAATGCATACACAGCTAATTTTAAGTCATAATGAGTTACACTTTCTTATGAATTTCTTTGTTACCAATTCGAGATGCCTCGATTCGGGCCGGAGAAGCAACGCCATTCGATCATTATTAAACTAACTGCAATCATTTTCTGTCCGTGAAGATCCCACCAGAGCGTCTTCTACTTCTAATAGGCCATGAACGTGTAAAAGTAAAACTTAAAAGTCAAAGGCGAATTCAGCTTTTTGTGTTTTACTACCTAAATAGTGCCAGGAATTAAGTAAACACTAACAAACATCAAGTTTCTATGTACTTTCTTGGTGGCAAATAAGTTTGTGCTACTCCCACACCCTGGCTTTGGACTTGTGAGTTGTGATTAATAATTTAGCAACCTAGGTTTATTCATCTGCAACTGATGGTGCATTATTAAGTTCAATTAAACCTGAAACCACAACAAGATTTTGTTTTTTGTTCTTATCAGTTATCAGTAGAGTTCCCCTAAAGTGCTTTCCAAAATAAACTAAAATTGTAACTGCTTTATCAAATAAAACTGGACGGAACAAGTTCATCATACAATTTGAGCCAAATAAAAGTTAACC